ATAGATGAAACTACCGACTACGCGACAGAATAACCATTAGAATATTTGTGGGTGGCCGACCTTCGTCTCGAGCTTTACAACAACAGGCTGATAGTTTTTTATTTGTAATTTAGTTTTAATATTTGCCGGAACATGACATAAATTATTATACTTCAATTCTTATTTGACTAAATAAAATTTAAGAGCTAATACATTTATTGAAAGTTTATTAACTTGGTATCAAAGCCATCGAAGTATGAATGTTCTAGTATATCCTTTGCAGATATACGATGAACTGGGTCATATATAAGCATTTTTTGTATAAGATCGATACCATCGCTGTTCAAATTTTTCAGTTGATTTGGCAATTGATTAGTTGACCAACAGGGGAATGTATTTTTATAGTCAGGAAGTGATGTCACTCCGGGCCATATTTCTTCTGTTGGCGTCTTCAATATTCTATAAAATACACGTAATTATTATCCAGATTAAAATATATTATAATTATGTAAATAATTACCTGAACATTCTAAATAATTGATCAATTTCAGAGTCTCCTTGGAATAATGGCTTTCTAGTAGCCATTTCGGCAAATATGCATCCAATGGACCAAATGTCTACCGGGCAGGAATACCGGGGAGACCCTAAGAGAACTTCTGGTGCACGATACCAAAGTGTTACAATTTCATGAGTATATATGCGAACTGGAATACCAAACGAGCGGCCAAGACCAAAATCAGCTACTTTTATTATTCCGTTTTTATCTATTAACAAATTTTGAGGTTTTAAGTCGCGATGCAACACCCGCCTTCGATGACAAAAAAGAATCGCGCTCGTTATTTGATAGAGGTAGCTTCGTACAAGATCGCTGTCTAATGGTTTTTCAGGAGGCAGTGAATCCATATATTTTTTTAAGTCCATGGATAAAAATTCAAAAATTAAGTATAACCGATTTTCTTCCATTAAAACGTCCTCAAGGCAGACAATATTAGGATGTTTCAGCTCTTTCAAAAGGGAAATTTCTCTGAAAAAATATTTTGTTTAAGTAATGTATATATATTCAATGTCGGAACAATGTTTTAACAATGTACGGTTAAAAGCTAATACCATTTTACCAAAAACATCGGAAATTTGCAGTTTTACCTGCTACTTTTTTTTTAATTTGTCTTAGAAGGAACAACGTCAACAACTAGCAAGATATTACAAAAAACTATCAGCTCCTAGAAAAGAACGCTTCAAAAATGCTAGTTGAAAAAATGTAATTATAAATTCCATATCACATAAGACTTCCTTCTTTTAATTAGAAGGAAGTGTTGGTGGCCGCATTCGGCCGGGGATTTGAGACTTTCTCCCATGTACACCTTGTGTCCCAAAACATTTCCTTTCTAATCAATGCCATTAATCTTTAAAATGATAATGGAAACCCATATCTAAGGAGGTATAAACTTCGATCACCAAATCACATTTTTTTAATAAAGACTTCAAATTGATACCCAGGGTCCCAAGGCCTACATATGGTAACATTTTCAAAACTATCCTCGATCGGACTTTAAGATAACATGACTCTAAACTTGTCTCGTTCCCAAAGAGAAATACGTTTTTGTATTATTTGTATTATTATATATTTTATGTTATTCATAACAAAAACTGCAATTGTATTATATATTCACTACTTTCGTTTTGCGAAGTTTGCCTACCTTATAGCAGTCGATGGTATGCCTTCATCATCAGACTCCAAACGAATTTTTTTCATAGCAACGATTTGCCCCGTAAGTCTATTTCTGCCTTTATAGACCACACCATAAGTGCCTTCTCCTATTTTCTCAATTTTCTGAAAATCTTCCATCTTCACAAATTGTTTTCTTTTAAACAACTGTATTGCGCCAAACCTCTTTGCTTATAACAAGCAAATTAAAAATGGCTTCATGATAGGTTACTAGATTGCGATATCAATTAAAAGTTATTCGGTATTTATTTGCAGTTATACGGTGTGTTCACATAATTCAATTCATCGCACAAATATTGAGATCCCCTAATTGTAGCATCTGTAGATATAACTTAAGAAAAATGTGGATCAACAAATATAAATATTTATAACATTGCAAGTTCGGATTAAAAAATACTTATTCTTTACATAGAATGTATATTTATATGTAATTATGAATAGAATTGTCCATCATAAAATATTTAAAATCTTTTAAAATTATACATTTTTAATTTTTTACAAAAAATATGCCAATCGACATGCATAAAATTTTATGGAATTTATTTTTCCAACAATTTGAAATTGATAGATGAGTTCCAAATTTATCGGGATTGGTGTTGAGAGTTTCTCTCTCTCAGTGATAAATTGTGAATTGTGTTGGAAAACATTACCAAAAGTAGGAACAAAAAAGTACGAAAAGGTACCTAAAATTCTACTTCAAATGATAATAAATCATAATTATCGAGATATATTGGCCATTATTTATACCAGTTATTTGCATTAATAATATATTGTATAATTTAAGCGTAAATGTATTCACGAATAATAAAAAAATCTAATTTTTGTTTTGGTACGCTTATGTCAATTCGTACCTTTTATGGACAAAAAGTACGCTTGTTACAAAATTAAAAATAGCGCAACTCTAATTACTCTCTCAAAAGAGAGAAACTCTCAACACCAATCCCGATAAATGTAAAAACCCGCATATACAGACCTGCGTGAAGTTAGCAACGTTGCTAATTTTCGATAACAACATTTTTAACAAAACTACAGGGTGATACAGAACGACCAAATTTTACATTTAGTACCTTTTTTGCAACTGTGATAAAAATAAATAAATAAATTTAAATAAAAAATAAATTTAAACACAAAAATTATGAATGAATATAACGAAAAAATTTACTAATATTGTTGTATAATTTATTTTATGGTGTCCATTTACAGATTAATCTGTAATATTCCAGTAACAGCAGTTATAAATATGACAAATTTTTAGTTTGGAGGCTACTACTTCTAAGGTCAGAAATCTGGATCTGGAAGCTACAGTATAAAAACGTACACCATAAACTCGATGTCTAATGAAAGAGGAGATCCTCACGAGCAATTTGGTGTATTGCATGAGCTCCTAATCAGTTTTTCGTTGAACAAAGTTTCCAATTTTCTGGTTTCCAACTGGTGGTCAGGACAGAAAACTGGATCTGGAAGCTACAATATAAAAACGTACACCATAAACTCGATGTCTAATGAAAGAGGAGATCCTCACGAGCAATTTGGTGTATCGCATGAGCTCCTAATCAGTTTTTCGTTGAACAAAGTTTCAAATTTTCTGGTTTCCAACTGGTGGTCAGGACAGAAAACTGGATCTGGAAGCTACAATATAAAAACGTACACCATAAACTCGATGTCTAATGAAAGAGGAGATCCTCACGAGCAATTTGGTGTATCGCATGAGCTCCTAATCAGTTTTTCGTTGAACAAAGTTTCAAATTTTCTGGTTTCCAACTGGTGGTCAGGACAGAAAACTGGATCTGGAAGCTACAATATAAAAACGTACACCATAAACTCGATGTCTAATGAAAGAGGAGATCCTCACGAGCAATTTGGTGTATCGCATAAGCTCCTGCTCGTGAGGATCTCCTCTTTCATTAGACATCGAGTTTATGGTGTACGTTTTTATATTGTAGCTTCCAGATCCAGTTTTCTGTCCAGACCACCAGTTGGAAACCAGAAAATTTGAAACTTTGTTCAACGAAAAACTGATTAGGAGCTTATGCGATACACCAAATTGCTCGTGAGGATCTCCTCTTTCATTAGACATCGAGTTTATGGTGTACGTTTTTATATTGTAGCTTCCAGATCCAGTTTTCTGTCCTGACCACCAGTTGGAAACCAGAAAATTGGAAACTTTGTTCAACGAAAAACTGATTAGGAGCTTATGCGATACACCAAATTGCTCGTGAGGATCTCCTCTTTCATTAGACATCGAGTTTATGGTGTACGTTTTTATATTGTAGCTTCCAGATCCAGTTTTCTGTCCTGACCACCAGTTGGAAACCAGAAAATTTGAAACTTTGTTCAACGAAAAACTGATTAGGAGCTCATGCGATACACCAAATTGCTCGTGAGGATCTCCTCTTTCATTAGACATCGAGTTTATGGTGTACGTTTTTATATTGTAGCTTCCAGATCCAGTTTTCTGTCCTGACCACCAGTTGGAAACCAGAAAATTGGAAACTTTGTTCAACGAAAAACTGATTAGGAGCTCATGCAATACACCAAATTGCTCGTGAGGATCTCCTTTTTCATTAGACATCGAGTTTATGGTGTACGTTTTTATATTGTAGCTTCCAGATCCAGTTTTCTGTCCTGACCACCAGTTGGAAACCAGAAAATTGGAAACTTAGTTCAACGAAAAACTGATTAGGAGCTTATGCGATACACCAAATTGCTCGTGAGGATCTCCTCTTTCATTAGACATCGAGTTTATGGTGTACGTTTTTATATTGTAGCTTCCAGATCCAGTTTTCTGTCCTGACCACCAGTTGGAAACCAGAAAATTGGAAACTTTGTTCAACGAAAAACTGATTAGGAGCTCATGCGATACACCAAATTGCTCGTGAGGATCTCCTCTTTCATTAGACATCGAGTTTATGGTGTACGTTTTTATATTGTAGCTTCCAGATCCAGTTTTCTGTCCTGACCACCAGTTGGAAACCAGAAAATTGGAAACTTTGTTCAACGAAAAACTGATTAGGAGCTCATGCAATACACCAAATTGCTCGTGAGGATCTCCTCTTTCATTAGACATCGAGTTTATGGTGTACGTTTTTATATTGTAGCTTCCAGATCCAGTTTTCTGTCCTGACCACCAGTTGGAAACCAGAAAATTGGAAACTTTGTTCAACGAAAAACTCATTAGGAGCTCATGCGATACACCAAATTGCTCGTGAGGATCTCCTCTTTCATTAGACATCGAGTTTATGGTGTACGTTTTTATACTGTAGCTTCCAGATCCAGATTTCTGACCTTAGAAGTAGTAGCCTCCAAACTAAAAATTTGTCATATTTATAACTGCTGTTACTGGAATATTACAGATTAATCTGTAAATGGACACCATAAAATAAATTATACAACAATATTAGTAAATTTTTTCGTTATATTCATTCATAATTTTTGTGTTTAAATTTATTTTTTATTTAAATTTATTTATTTATTTTTATCACAGTTGCAAAAAAGGTACTAAATGTAAAATTTGGTCGTTCTGTGTCACCCTGTAGTTTTGTTAAAAATGTTGTTATCGAAAATTAGCAACGTTGCTAACTTCACGCAGGTCATATACAGAATGTGTGACTGTGTGTGTAATGTTTTGAAAAAAAAAACGGACATTCCATTTATTTTTCGCGTTTTTTTGCATTTGTATTCAATTATTCTGACATTATTGCCCATAAAGTGGAGGTGTCAAACAAGCACACTCGTTCCCTCTCTTTTACTGGATTTTGGAGTACCGACAACATATAGTAACAAGTGCTACAAAAATCTCAAATAAACAGACACAGCTAATAAAAACATGAAATTAGGGGTTCTTAGACCGTAAACAATTGCTCAACAGAGGAACATTGCATATTATTTATTTTTCGTAGACAATGGCTAAAGGCGCATATGTAATATTTTCCGTTTAGGGTCCGCTCTATTTCTGTATATATTTTCATATGTAAACCAAATAAATCAGCTGTTTTGATTGTTTGGCAAATGAAGATATATTTCTGGTAGAAAATAACTTGAAGAAATAAAGTAACACTTGTGGACGAAAAAATAAACAAAAATGCATATACACATGTAAACAAAAAAATTAAAAATGTATGTAAGGATTAGGCGGAATAGATCCGTTGAGCCTTCCGTCGCCTTATGTGTTATAGAAAATAAAACAACCACAAGAAAACGATAACACTAACGCTCGAAGTTGATGTGCGTTGCGCCTCGGAGCTAGTCCCGTGCCTAAGTTCAGTGCGTTGCGTACTAAAATACCCACCTTCTTACATTTACAGGGTTTGTTGAACATCCGTTTTACCCAAATACGCAAGGACCTTATTTACATGAATGTCAATTGTGTGGCAGATTATACAAAAAATTGCATGAAAGGTTATTTTTTTTTTTGTAAATTAGGTATACTTCCCTAACACTTTGTAATGAGAACATTTTCGGCCTTTTTGTCATCAAAAGTATTGTCATAACTCCGGTGTTAAAGAGTAATATAGCGTTGCTCACGTAGTGCAGATAATGTTCGAACACTGAAAGTGTTATACTCTCATTTAATTGTAAACCACACCCCTTATCACACTGTTATAAGAGGACGTTACATTATAAGCTATCTTTTACGGTGAGTCTATTCTATACGAGCAACAATAACCTTTATTGTTGTTGGGCAGAGCAATGCATACGTGGTATGGAATGCAAAAAAAGAAGAAAAGTTTCGGCAATTAAAGAAAAGAAGTAAAAATTTTGGCTGTTGCTAAGGGCAATGTAGTGAATAAAATTGTAGAGAGGTTTCTTTTTAGTTCTGACGATCAAGTCATCAAGATCTAAGCCGTGATCACATAAAAGAAAAAAATTAAACCAAATAATAAACGCCATCACATTTTTTTTGTGTGTACAACCAAATATTATTCCGAGGAACATTTCTAATTTAAAAAAAGGACAAAACAAGAAGAAAATCCTTTGTTCCTAAATAACGAATATATATAACTTAATACACTATATATATAAATATATATTACTGTAAGTAAACCTAATACATGCAACTTATATCGCCTAACTATCCATTTGTGAACTGTTAAATATTATAGAAATTATACTTAATTGTTAAG